GAGGACCTTTCGAACCCTCGGGGACCCTTTCGGACAGTCGAGGAGCAGCAGCATCCCCTCAACTCGAGAATCGTCGATCGAGAACACGTCTCGTCATTTTCCTCCGACGCGGCGGCTACGCCTAAATTTCGTCATGTTTGTTCGAAATTCCCCCCCCCCCTCCGGTCATCTCTCTGCCGCACTTGGGTTCCCAGTCAGCCGAGGATGCGGGAGCACGCGCGCTCAATTGCGCAAACGTTCATTATACTTTACATTTGCTGTTTTAATTTAAAACAACACGCGCGCGCGCAGCGACGTGATACTTCGCCGGCAGATTGGCGGACTAATCCCCGTGTCTTGGCGATAGACAGTATTTTCTTAAGAGAGAGACTAAAGCACGCACGCGTGTTCTCCTTGGCCGGAAGGGGAATCGCGAGCTTTCTTGTTTCTGTATTTTCCGAGCGAGGTAAACTTATCTACATTATTCAAATGATCCACCTCGGAGTTCTCGTTTTAGTCTCGTTCAATATTACTCGCAACCATGCCACGACGACCAGGCGACAGGCGGAAGATGGGGCTGCTGATGGGCTGCGGGGTGGGCTGAAAGGGGGGTAAGTGCCGAGAGAACGGAGATGGCGACGGTGAAGGAGGGCGCAGAGGGGAGGGACGGAACGACGGAATTTATCGTGTACCGCGGGGGATCAGCGTTGCGGTGGATTAAACTACGCGCGCGCGGCCATGTCGGGAACGCGTTGATAACATTATGCGCATCTTTTTCCCTCATGAATGTCCCCGGGACGCGGACGGATGAGACGACTGCTGGATTTATAGACGAGGCGAAAGATTCTCGCGCGCGCGCGCGCGCGTACAAGAGCCCGAGTGAGACCGCCGTCCATAATATTCATCCTCGAGGGTAGCACGCACTCCCTCGCGCACGAGGCGGAAAATCAAAGTTCCTACTCGCGGGCTGCAGCTCGGCTCCCCCTCTCTCTCTCCCCATCTGCCCCGAGGACGTACAACATCCTCGCCGTCTGACCGTCTCTCTCCCCCGACTTATTATTATCCAGCATTATACAAATGACCCTGCCGGCGCTTCGCTCTTCCACCACCCCCCCTTCGCGCGCGAAGACCCCTTCCCCCCCCCGCCAGCCGTTGCATCGCGCACGTCGGCATTGCGCGTCGAATTTCGGCGTGCAACTCTCTCGCATGGGGAGCAAAAGCGCCGCGATTAAATTCATACTCGCCGGGCGACGAAAGAGGAAACTATTCCGCAACTTCTCCGCTTTGCAGTTTCGCAACTGCGGATTAAGCGAGCAAGGAGGTGGGTGGGCGACGGCGACGGCGACGGCGACGACGGTGGTAAGGAAGGAGACAACGGGGAAAAGAGGCGAAGAGATTCCGGGGGATAGCGAAGCGAGCGACGAGATAACGCGCGCGATTTAGATTGGTATCAGACTCAGGCCGGTCGGCGAGACGCATTAGACGGCAGGCGACATCGCCTGCAGCCGCGCTGTCGCGCGAGAAACGAACGCGTCGTGAAGACGAAGTAAGCGCGCGTGGCGTATCTTTATTAATTCCAATTCGCGCCTCATTGCCAATCATCGCGGAGAACCTTGAACCAATGACACCGACGCGGAGGTCTCAGGGTCGCGCGCGCGCGCGACCCACCGCCGGAGCGGCGACGGCGACGGCGACGGCGGCGGCTGCAGCGGCAGCGCGCCTGAATGCCCCCGAAACCGCGCAATGTAGTTACCCCGGGAAAATGGCTTTCATTCGCGGCGAAATAATTGAGGTCACTACCGCAGCGCAGCGGAGCGCAGCGCAGCGCGATGGACGCGGAAATCGGCCGAAATGTCGAGAATCAAATTTTCCGCCTTCGCTCCAATTTCAAGCCCGCTTTTAATAAGTCAACAGACGAGCCCGCTCGATATTCAGCCTCGGCACCGCACGAGCCAATATACCGGCGGACGATCGTCCTCGTCGCCGACGACGACGACGCTGCGCGGCGCCGCGCCGTGCCGCGCCGCGCCGAGCGTTTCGTTCGAGCGCGTCACGTGCACGCAACCGTCACCGCGCGCGAACCACTTCAAATTTGACACCGCATCGGCACACGTACGCAGCCGGTTTAAGCGGGTGTGTTTGCTCTGCCAGTGTTCCGCTAACGAACCCATCCAGCCACCCTCGCCCCGAACCTGTCGTCTCTCGCAAATCCTGCCAACCCCGCGACCCGAGGAGCCGGCTTGACTCCTCGTTGTCGTCGTATCCAACAGCGCGCCGCTGCTTCTCGCTTCCGCTCCCTCAGCCAGCCTTCGTTCGCTTTTAATGCCGCAAGTGTCGGAGCGTCGCGAAACTTTCGGCTTTCGCATCCCGTGGGTCTCCGCGAGTCTTAATTGGAGGTTAAAAAATCAGGCTGGGCGAAGGCTGGGCGACACCGTTCGAAAGTCGCGCGTGCGCGAATGCCCACCGGCATTGTTTAGAATTTTAGAAGACTCGAGCTGGAAACTCTCCCTTCCCCTCTCTCTCTCTCTCTCTCTCTCTCTCTCTCTCTCGCTTCCCCTCCGTCTCGCTCTCTCCTGTAGGACTTATTCAAATGCGAGAACTAGAGAAACGCGATCAAACAACTGTTAGCGTACGAGCAGCCGGGAGGGAAGAGGAGGGCGAGTGTTCCATGTCAGAAACAGTTACGAACGCATTCAAGGAAGTTAAATCGGAATGCTTGCTCCCTGACACCCGGTGGTTCTTGTAAATATACGAATGCGCAGCATTAATCCAAGTTTTACGGTAGCGATATAAGAGCGTGTACACGCATACACAAACGCAATGAACGAGGGAGGGTCCTCGAGCGGGCTCACTGTTGACTCCAATTTGCCGAGAGTTCGCCGGGGCGCTCGTCGATTCCCGTGAAATCCGCCGGGACGGCGGCGAGAAGTGTATCCGCCGTTGATTAAAATAAATCCGGACGCAATTCGGTGGGCGTAATTCGGTCCTCCGTTCGCAGCACGTCGGTGGCGAGTTTCCGACAACGTGACGGGCGAGGCGAACTCTCGCAGCCGCGAGCGAGGAGAAACGAAATCAGGAAGCATCGGCTGAGATTTTCGAGGAGAGGACGCGAGCGGCACGGAAGAACGATTACGTGGACGCGTTGCCGTCGACGTACGCAACGCGCGTACGTGCCGCGTAAATAACGCGGTAATTTACGATCGTTACACAATGATCGTCATAAATCGCGTTTCTGTTGGTCGACAAAACGTGCCGTTATGCGAGGAACTCCGGCCCGGCGGCCCTCATCCGCCCTCTCGCGTCCCTTCGCGCTGTCGATATTTTGCCGCGAGAACGCGGATACACGGCCGGCATAATTTATCTGTTTTCAAATATGCCTGCGCGCGCGTGCCGATATAAATTTACATATTTTAATATAAATTCCTAAATGCCGGCCAGCGTTCGCACAGACGAAGCCCTACGAAGCTCCGAGTGCGTCTTTATCGATCATTACACCCCACCGTCGTCCATCCGCGCTTTGCGTCTTGATTCTTACCCGCCGCGCCACCGCCGCCTCCTTGCCCCCCCCCCCACCCCCTTTCCGCCATTCCTTAATGTAAAACAGTGTAAGAGCGCCGAGGAATATGACGGATTCTTTGCGTGGCTTCGCATTATTCGCGCAGCAGTAAGTCAAGTAAAAGTACACCCGCTCGTAATTTTAACATTCTGCGATTCATTCTCTCGCGCAAGTTCAAGCGCCATCGAGCTAAGCATCCATCGATTAATGAAGCAACGACCTTTCTCTTTCTCCCGGCCGGATTATTCTGCGCGAATGAAGCGTCAAGCCAGCGGAGCTTGCGAAAAATTCCCATCCCCCGGGAGAATATTGTTTTTTCTCACCTCCCGACCGGGCGAATTTCAGAAAGCGTCTCGTCGCTTCCTCGCGGGACTCTTCGAAAGCTTAACGAGTCCGATGTCGGCGCGATGCAATGCTCAGCATCGTTCGCGCCCGCGCGGCCTCACACACCGTGTCACGCTGAACGAGATCTAATCGCAGAGCGGGAATTTGAAGCGTGCACTTCGATTTTGACGGGGACACCCGACGCGCGCACGCACGCCACGGCAAAATCGATTTTCCTCGCGAGCGCGCGAGCCTGATAACGCGACGCTTCTCTCCCTCGAACTGCTCGAAGCGCGACGGAACTTGTTTGACACCTTAACTATCGCGCGCACTCCAACGCCGCCCCCGCCCCCACCCCGCCCCGCGCCGCGCCGGGGGTTGACAGTGTGTAGCTTCGTATAATACGAGCCGCTATCGTCGGCGGAAGTTCGTGTTTAGAAGAGACACGCACACGCTCGCGCCTAAGTACCAAATGACACCCCCGTGTATTTGTCACGCGCCGAGCGGGATGTAACCGCGCCGCGCGCGCGGTGCGTGTAGCAAAGCGCATCGTCGAAATTTCAATGGAGCGATTGGACACAAAGCGAACGTATCGCCGCCGAGCGATAACGCAGCGCCGAGGGCGCTAGCGATAAGCGGAATTTGTCACGCGATGAATTTCGGCTGTACCTTTTCAGAGAGATGCGCCCGCGCGCGGCACAACAACAAGTCTCGGGGATAAACGCGGGTGATATTCCGCCAGCGAGACATTTGTCTTCCGACAACAACATATTGGCCATAAATCCGGCGTATATCGCGCGCGCGCGGAGGCTTCCACGCCACTGCGCGGAATGTCTTCGCGATGCGCACAGGCTAAGAATACACAGCTGCGTGAATTCTCATCTCGGCTTCTTTCACGGACCGCTCTCGTGTCTCCGTCGGCCGACTGCTCGCACGGCCGCTGCGACAGTGGATCGTGCGGACTTGAAGAACACATGTCGAAGCAAACGATCGGCCGGTGCCGTTGTAAAGCCAACGCTTATCACGAAACGCGACACTCGTTGACTCGAGAGGGTGCGAGAGCAAATTGGGGGGATGGACGAGGTGAGGGGGATTTTATTACATTCGCACAATGCAAAAAAAACATCGCTTGAAAGCTTGCTTTACGGCGCAAAGTTTTTCGTTTTATTGTCAGCGCGAGTTTCTTTTTTCGTACAGTCGTTGACGCGCTCGCAGGAGAAACGAGGGCGTTTCGTTTGGAAATATTCCTGCCAGCTCTCTCAAAACTCGCCTGTATGCTGGATGGTGAGCTCCGTAATCTGGAATTAAGAAACGCGCGAAATGACGCTCCGGCGCAGCCAGCGGTCGAGGGGATAGCGGAAGTGCATCAGCGGTAATTTGAACCTGAACTTCCGGTCGCGTTGCGAGGGCGTAAATAAGCGCGTCCGCCACGTCATTGGGCACAAGAGCTGGCACTTCGTCGAGCAACTCCTGCAACTCCGCAGAGTGCTTAGCTATCTCCGTTTTAACGATGCCGGGGCTAATACTCTGCAAAAAGCGGACGGATAATAAGAGTCTCCCGGCGATTACTTTATGCCACGACGCTCGCTGGATGATATTTTACACGGGAATAACGCCGTGTCGTTCGGCGTTCGCGCAAGCGGGCGCCGCGCGCACCGCGGCGATGAAGCAACCAGTGCGTGTGCGTTGTTCGCGGACAACAACGCGCCGTTTTCAACCTTCGACGCGTCAACTGCACACGTCAACATTTACCGTGCCGGCTGCGCGTGCTCTACCGTCGTGAAATATTTAGGACTCGAAGCGGTGACGCCGCCGCGCGCGATGAATTTACCTCTCCCATCGACGTCACGCGTTCCGTCTCCTTTCTTTAGAAGTTACGCGCGATAATCGCGTCGTCGTTTCGAGTCGAGTCGAGTGAGATGATATCGTGGTCGCGCGCAAGCGACCGCGATAGCGAGTGGGACGAGAGGAGAAATCAGAAGGAGACACAACGAGGAATGAGGAGAAAAAGCAGAATGACAGGGAGAACAACGTGAAAACGCGATCGCGAACCGTGAGCCTCTGATCGACCGCGACTTACCGTGATCCGAATAGGGGACTTAATTGCCGCTAATTCTCGCCGCACGGTATGAGTGAGAGCGACTGTTGCGTGTTTACACGCGGGATACAGATTCCAGCCGTTGCAGCCGATAATCTCCGAGAGAGGCTTCGCCGGGATCTCGTGGCCTAAAACGCTGCACATCAAAGCTCTGTCTGCATTAACAGTCGACAAAGCGTCACTCTGCTGTGCACTTTGTTCAAGGGGATCCTCTCTCTCCGCGTCTTTGTCGTTTTGTCTTTCTTTCTATCTCACCGCGGGCGCCGCCCGGCGGAAGCGCTCGCTTCGAAAATAACTAATTTATTCGAAAAGTTTGCGGGACTTTCTGTCGGTCCGCCGTTGCCAGAGACGTCGCGGTTAACGAACGAATCATAAGTAACAATACCTGTTGACATTGAAAACATGCCCTTCGACGTTTCGGGCGCGCATCGAGCGCACCGCCATGTTGACGCACGTAGCGACTGCGAGGACATTAATATTTAACAGCCTTTCAAATGTCTTCCTGTCGCTCTCTGCAAGTGTAATTTATGGAATTTTTTAAAATGCGCCAACGACGGGGGAGACCGAAGCCTTCTACCACCGTAATACCGTCAGTGAAAGCCCACTCTTGTCCTCCACCCCCTGCTTCCCACCCTCAGCTCGACCCGCCGTCGCGAGTCGTACGCGACACATAAAAGTAACAGAGCCTCCCTTTTCCCAACGGTAACATCCCCCCCTCCCCGCGCGCACGAGAAGCCGCTCTGCGTGTTTGGAGCAGCGATGGCCTCGATGGCACTCTGCGACTCGAAACTAGATTTCAAAGTCTTCAAACATCTATCGCGACGATACCTCCCCCCCCCCTCCGCCCCGCAGTAACCGTAGTCGCGCGAAGCGAGAGAGAGAGAGAGAGAGAGAGAGAGAGAGCTTCTCTTCTTAGAGGAGACACTTGAGACATAAACACAAACGTACCGATCACGCGGTTATAATTGCTGACTCCGGCGTTGTTGACCATAATGTCAACGCCGTCGTACGTCTCCTCGATGTGCTTGAACACTCGCTCGATGTCCTGCTCATTGCTAATGTCGCAATGTCTGGTATGCAGTACGCCCAAGTTCCTCTGACTCGACTTGTGGGCATGCAGATCCGCCAATTTTTCCTCCTGAATATCCACAGCGACCACGTTCACTCCGTTTCGCAGGAGAGCGCGTGTAATTGCTTCGCCGATGCCGGTTGCAGCGCCGGTAACGAGTGCGGTTTTACCGAGCCAACGATCCATAATTGCCTGTCTGCAAGTACGACGTAAGCTCTCGCGGTTTGACATGCCACTAATAACTAGCGAGCCGAAAATAATCTCGAGCACGGAAAAAGTGTAATCATGAGCGTCTACAATCGCGGTGACGTTAAATTTCCCTTGAAATTTGTGGAAATGGCATTTCGATTAACAGCGTCAGAACGCTAAAGCCGTTCTGTATATGTACTTACTCGCGTGTCTTCTGTACTCGTGCTGCTAGTTATCGTCGTCGTCGTCGTCGTCGTCGTCGTCGTCGTCGGGAATAATCGGAAATAAGCTTAACTTCGCGATACACTCACCGTGACTCGGCGACGTGTACGATGCTAAGTACGCAGCAAACGACTAAATTTCCTCGCCGCACTGTCAATAGCACGACGAGAAGTGTACGCGGCAGAAGTCGTAATCGCTCGCGGTATCAGTTGACTCACACTCTCGCGCTTCACACCAGAGTGGGGTTGGCAAAGTCATAGTCCACTAGCGCGATTATGTATACGTGTGCGTGGATTCACGCGTATTACATTATGGATTAACTGGTCAGCAGCGAGCGAAGTACGTCGCAACATAACAGTACGAAATGCGACGCCACGCTGAAGTGCCGCGTTCGGAAATGAAAGTGGCAACGAAAGTTTGAGAGACGCGCTGTGGATGCTTTGTAACCGTCATAATAAAGTTATCATTGCGCGCGTATGTGTGTGTGTGTGTGTGTTAGCACTCGGATATTATTGTCACCGCCAGATGAAATGTGATCCATGTGTATATTAATACGTCTTTGCCAGAAAAGGAGAGCGCATTTTAAGACGGCCAACGCCGGGACGCGTGGTCCATTAATTTTCTTACGACGCGCGACGGACAAAACGCTATATTAAAACTTGTCGTACTCGCGTCGTAACTCTATTTCGGTGCAACATAGCGGCCATTTTTCGTCCGAGGCGTGTCCGGAGCGTCGGGCACGTATAGGCCAGACGCATCATGGAGGACGAGGACAGAGATCCTTCGGCTTAGGTTTATCCGTTTACCCGTCCGCTACCGTCCGCCCGCTTTTGCCCGGGCCTTTACTTGTTTTAAGTGAAGCGCGACGTGACCTACCGCAATCCCCTCCGCGTACAATCACATCGGCTTCTGCGTACCGTCTCTCTCTCTCTCTCTTTCTCTCTCTCTCTCTCTCTCTCTCTCTCTCTCTCTCTCTCTGTCTCTCTCTCTCTCTCTCTCTCCGAACCAATCTCTTTTGCGGAGACATCCGACGGAATATCAGGATATTTCGAAATCCCGCAGATTCCGCTGGACGACTTTCAGAGACCCATCCTGTTTCGTACGCGCGTGCGAGAGGAAGATCTTACTTAGTCCAAAAATATAACCCGAATATCATCTTCTCTCAATCTGCGATCTCTCTGAAAGTTTCATACTTTGAGACTCGAGACGGCAAAGAGCACATGTTCAACGTGAAGGCGTTAATTATTCAAGAAACATTTCGACACCGAGAACGAGAGAGAGAGAGAGAGAGAGAGAGAGAAAGAGAGAAACATTTTCGCGGTGCTCGCAAAATGTATCCGGCTCAATCAGTCTCAATCAGAGGTATTTTAGCGACAAGCTGCACTGAATATGTCATGCATGCGACCTCCGTCCTCGTCATCTTGAGCGAGAAGCTCTCGCTCGACGAACAAAAGGTCGGCGATCGCGGAACGATCGACCATTGAATTATTCCGTCGTACCGCCTCGCTGTCGGGATAGATTTATCTTTCCCACGGACAACGTCGCTATCTCGAATCCGTTACGGTAATCTCGAATTTCGAGATTCGAAATGGGAACTCTCCCCCCCCCCCACCCGGTCCCTCATCTTCGCGGGATAAACGATAGCCGCTAGCGGACGCAATAACAACGGCGTGTATCGATCTTCGTGAGCCGGCATCTGGCACTAGGTCCAGTTGTGTTGCCGGGCTGAGAGCATTATTCTTGTTCACGCGGGACGACGAGGAAATCAACAAGAAAACCGGAGGAAGCTTCTCCCGACCCGACCCGAGCCGAGCCGGCCCGGTCCGCCAGATGCTGCTTTGCCGCCCGACCATTTCTCAACGTGGCCGTGATTACGCGCATCGCTCCGCACTTACTACGACGAACTCATGTTTTTTCCATAGGCGGCAAATTACATAACGAGGTGCAGACACGTAATACCCCCCGAACCCGAGGCGCGAAATCACGGAAGGTCGACAACGGGGAAAATCGATTCCCGCCGAGTGAGCAAACTCGTGCACGTAAATACATACACGTACACGTACACGTACACGTACACGCGTGTCAGATGCCACGAACTTTTCGATCATTCTCTCGTCTTGTCCTTCGTTACAAAATTAAAAATTTTATTATTTATAGAATTTCGATAATTCGAGATGCGTTTCCGAAAAATATAGGTACGCTGATATCTTGGTCGATACCGTCGAGTGACGTTGGTAAAATTTTAATCCAAGGTATAAATTGGTAAAAAGTGTCATGTTAAAATGAAGATCGCGGTCGACGATGATGGAGGAAACGCGAGACTCAAGTTAGTGGTGCGACGTATATATATTTTATATAACGAAAGATCGCGAGACTTTAAAAGTCTCAAGTTTACATACATAGATATCTCACAAATTCAGAGTTTCTGGTGTATTTTACTTACGCCGCGCTACATTTAAAAATTGTCGAAGCGAAGGGCGAACGTATTTTTCAAGATATCAGAAACGTCGCAGAAACGGGCACGATTTAAGAAATAACGATCTACGAACCAAAAATATTATTATACTCCACGCCAGCTGACGAGAAAATCAAAAAGAAAGACCGAGGAAAGGCAGCAGTGTTCTTCGATTCGCAGCGCCATATGCTTCCGCCGCCCGGCTATTTTTCAACGGATCGTGATTACACATACCAATCTGTATCGCTATAAACTATACGCTTTCTTTCCTTGCAATATACGTTACGGCACCATGAATTGTATGTATTAAATGGAGGAAGGTAAATTTCAAAATCGTCGTGGAAATTTATCGTAAAAACAGAGATTCGTAATCGAGTTTGCGCGCAATCTGCAACTGCAAGTGATTTTTAAAGATTTCTTCTCTCACGAGATAAAAAAGATTGTCATCACACAAGCTAAAAATTCGAAAGGAAACGAGAGAGAGAGAGAGGAAGATTTCTTCTAAGTACATATACATATATAACACATTATATGTATATACTCTCGGCGATTCCAATAGCTTCTGTGAAAACATATAACGGTTCGACTTCTGCCCGGAATCTTCGATTCTGCAAAAGTTGGCTTTACACGTCGTTTCCGCCGGCCAGATGTGGAGAAACGACCATTGGGCACCCATAATTTTCGAGTTATCGAAAAAACTTGGACGGATCTGGAGCGAAGCGGGCGCCCGCTGAGAATTTCCGAAACTTTCTTCTTTGCCAGGTGCAAACGAGATGCAAACAACCCGCTGGAAGACCATTTTGAAAATTCCGTACGGGTCATCCAAGTAGCTTCGCGTGCGAAAAATGCGAAATCAGCACCGCCCGCGGGCCCGCGCCCCCGCCCTCACCCCCGCGCATCCGCCGCCCCGATAACTCGAAAACTATGACGGCGCGATCGAGGGCTCTTAAAATCTTCGAATGACAAATACGGCCGAGTAGGGTGTGACGGAAAATTTCAAAAATCCCGACTCGTTGACCCACTTCGTCTCGGAGTTGAGGGCGCACACTCGCTGTCGCCGCGATAAGGCGCAAATGAAGTACGCCGCGACTTCGGCCGGCAAAAACTCCAAAACTTAAGGCCGAGTTCCAACGCAAAGTTCTCCATTACCCGCCATTGCCCGGAAAACTATTTGTGTAACATGTAGGACGCAAATTCAAGCAAGTAGCTTCAGAGTTGCCCCCCCTTCCCGCCCCCCCTTTCACTCCTGCTCTTTCGTTCCCTCTTGGGTGAGGAGTCAGGGGAGACGTCTCATTTCATTCGTTTGTTTAATTATTTCCGTCTCTGTGTTTCAGTTATAACGCGCGAGAATAAACTCAGAAATCGCAGACGATGCCGGCAGAAAAAGAGCACTAACTGGAAAGCGCATCGCGTCCCAGACAGGGATGAGAAAAATGAGAAAAGATTTGCCCGTTTTCCGCTTCAAAAGCGCCAGATGTTCCCGCCACTCGGCCATTTCTCAACGACATCGTGATTACACGCATCACTTTGTATTACCGCAACATCACGTCTCTCGTTTTCTTATTTAGCCGCCAAATGCGCACGGCGTAAGCGTACAGATATAATAACGGATCTCTTAAAATTCTTTTCTATTATGTAATTATATTAAAATTTGTGTTAATATTCCGCGATTATTTAATCGCCTCGCCTCACGTCTAACTCGTGCGTTTCGTTGTTTGTGTGAACTAAAATTCAATATCACCACACGGAGGCATAAATCTTATCATCTATGTAAACCCATCACCTGTATTACTTTTGTTTGTCTTTCACTCACCGATACATCGCGAACTCAAAGCCGACCGCATTCCGCTTCAAATCTGGAACAAAGAGACAGAGGTTTAGTTAAAAAATTTAGTTAAATTAAAAAATTCGATTTAACGAACGAGAGTGCGAGTGAGAGTAAGAGGAGTAGATTAACCGTTTGCGGTCGTAATTCAAGTCATACGGACGATTATATCTTACAACTTTAGAGTGCACAGGATTAAACTGGCAAGTATAGAAAAGTTACATAAACTCACCTTCGAGTCGGCTCTGCTCGGCCCGAATCGGATCCTCCGATACAGCAACCGCGTCCATTGGAATTACAATCTGCAAGATGCGCCGGAATCACCTGAAACAGAAATTTAATTTTTCTCTGAAATATTTAATTATTTCATAAGTATTTCGATGGCGTTTGTCGCCAGTGCATTGCTCGTTAAGATTAAGAATTCAAAAAATGTTAATGCAGATGTAATTTGACTCGAGACAACGAAACTCCTCGGTATAATTAACACTCGGTATAATTAAGTAGAAATATTCAACGCGAACTTTTCAAAGCGCGAACTTTTCAAATGACGCGTAGGTTATTTCGCGAGAAGCGGCGGTCAAGACGAGAGGATCATGCGGAAAAGACGTCCGCGATGATGATCGATTCTTGATTTCCGAGAGTATCCCTGATTCCGCTTGACGAGAGCGGAAGTTCCCGTGACAGCTACACAAAGAGTTCATCTTTATCGGAGCTCGTCTGAAGGAAGTTATTTGGAAGCTTATTCGGAAGTTTAAAGGAACTATCGAAGAATAGCTGAGAACACAGAACGAGAACGCAGCATTCAACTTCGTTTCCGAAGCAATAAACGATAACGCGGACGGTATCGACGTTCTTTCCTCCAGACTATTGAACTAATGTATAAACGCGGAGTAGCTGGATCGACGTTCTTGTGACGTCAATTCCAACATTTTTGCTCATCAATCTCGTCTACACATCCAAACAGATAGACAGATAAGATAGACTTGTGAACTACGACGATACTGGACATCTCTCACTGGTAATGTCAAACAGCTCGACAACGTTACTGAATATTTTCCTCCGCGTCGACGCAATATCAATAAAAAAAATCTTTGAGTTATGCTAATAGAAATAAATCACGATATAAAATTATCTTCATCTCGTATCAGAATCAACGTGTCTTTTTAACTCAAGATATATTTACGAATTAAAACACACACTGAATTTATTGCCGCAACTTATCTCTTTCAGTGTACACACACGAGCGGTTAAATATCAAAGAAGTATCTGTACAAACTATTTTTCTCTTTTATATCGCGACAACTCATTTAAACGAGAAAAATAGCGACTAAATATTACTGTGTCTCGTCCAGATATAAAAAAGAATACGTCCGGGGGAACTATATCAAACCTTTTCCAAGCCAAGTGAAGCGTCGCGGTGAGTAGTGTCGTCACTTCATTCCGACAGTTTCCCGCAAAGTACGTTCCAGACGTTTAATAATTGCCGCGAGCGCCTCAACGCGCGCGCCTGTTGTTGGCTACGTCTCGTATTGGGCGCATTTTATGAAACGCCACAGAAGGGAGCGTTTCCTTCTCGATATTCTAATCGAGAGAGAACCAGCGTGAGGAAAGAAATGCAAAATACGCAACGCTTCGACGTGACTCCTGTTTCCGTCTGATATTTCAACGTCAACTTTAATTACGCTGCATTGTTACCGAGCAGCTTCTCCGTATATCTCATCGACTGCATCGAATTGTCAAAGCGCGCGATACTTTCTTTTCTTATTTCTCCTTAGCATTATTCATACGTACGGAATCGAAACTTCAATTTCCTCTGGTTAAATAATACCATTGGCAATTCGCATTCACTTCGCATTCGTTTCGCAGCATCACGGAAAAACAACTACTCGAGCGGTGTTATATCCCGAGATCCTTCCTTGATCCTTCAAATTCGCAGAGACGAAACTCGCAGGGTCGATGTAGAGCCGAAATTTCGAAGCGAGAATATTCTACAATATTGCGCGAGACCAAATAAGCAAGACTCGAGAAAAGTGTATAACATTATTTTGTAATATCCAACAATTAAGACATCGTGCCGCATGAATGTCTGCGCTGATTCGCGACACACAATTACGACAGCGTGACAAAATAATCAAACGTTTCACCTCGTGTTCTGCAACGCTGAAAGCAAGTCAACGAGAGTGCGCGTCCACCTATCACCCTCGCCGTGAAAACACCTCTCCGTTTGATCAGCCCGTGGCTAAACAAGAGAAAAGCGAGAGAAAAGTGTGTGTGAAGGAAGCAAGGGAACCGTACAAGCCCGTAGTTAGTTTTACAGATCGCCTAGCCATTTCCACGATCCTTATTGCGGAGCGCTCTCGCGTTGCCTTTAGCCGTTGCCGTCTCCACCTGTTCCCGGGTCTCTCCTCTGTTTATCCCCGCGTATAATTTCAGCCGACCGGTGACTCTCGTTAATTTCTCGCTGCCTCGTTCGCGGCCTCATTCCCATCCCCCGCCCGGAGCGGCCCGGTGTCCCCGACGAGCCCCCGCGCCCCAACGTCGCGTTGGCGCGTCTAACGACCGGGCATCAGCGCGCGAGTACAGCCCTGAGAGCGATCTCTTCTATACATATTCATGAGGCAATAAGCCCGCCGCTGATCTTCCGGGGAATGGAACAACAAGGGAAGAATGGAAAGTAGGGAGCGTCGGTGTGCCAGTCCCGAGCAGACATCGTCGGGCTCTCGCTCTCGCTCTCGCTCTCACCGGGGAAGCACTGCTCGTCAACCCCTTTTCGACTGCTTCGGCATTCCCGCGCGTTTACGGGGCGGCCGGGGCCGTACCGCGCGTTTTATTCCACGGGGCTAGGATATCGCAGGGGCAGGAAGTGGTGCGGCAGAGAGACGAAGGCCGTAGCCTTCGATGCGCGAGGAGCCGAACGCGATATTATTTTACAGACCATTTACGTCGCACGTGCGCGATAGCCCCCTGTGCTGCGACGACGTTCGAGCCGTCGAACGTTACGTTCACAGCTCGTGCATCAGGCAAACACGGAAAGGCTGGATTGACGCGGATCGCTTCGGTATCCGGCTGCTACTGTCTCGAACACTGCGCGTGTGCGCGAGTGCGAAATTCGCTTGAATTATTATTCGAGTGTCTTGCGAAGACACAGCCGTAAAGAATAAGAGAGACAGAAAAAAAAGGGTAACAGAGGGTGAAAGAGAGAATTTTAACGCCTTACGATCGGTTTACACACGTGAAATGCTACTCTCTTTTCGTGCAAGTTGATGAGCAAAGCTAAATAGGTGAAAGAGGAAAGATAAAAGAGAGAGGGAGAGGGAGAAAAACTATTGCGCGAATAAATTCGTACGAATAAAAAATCAGATTTCAAGCCGGGAATATTGGAGTATGATCCGTGTGATTCTCCAGTCAGCCAGTAAAAATTGAATAGATTCTCACATCCTCTCTATCCTGGATATTTTAGATTCTCACGATATCGAGTCACGCCCCTACGCGATGCGGGTCACACAGAAATCGCGAGATATTTTGCGCGCGCGCGCGCACGAGCTTGTATTCCGATGCAAATCGAATAAAAGCCGTGCCGCCGCCGCCGCCAACGTATATCTCAACTTTGAATTTGGATTTCGCGCACCGATCGTTCTGCATTAACGGCAGCCGACTCTCAAAGAGTCTGCACGACGGAAGTATTTGCGTCGCAAACATCGTGTTTGTCAGAGGCCCCGACGCCTCCATCTAACTATCCGTCGTCCTCCCTCGCCGCACGTCTGTCCCACCCACCCTTTTTCAACATTCTCCATCTCGAGCTGTCCTTCTGCCTCCCACACTCGCGGAACTCGCCGTGGTGTGAATACGAAACCGTTTGGCACCTCTGAGCTGAATTCGAAATTCGCTCGGCGACAATGCGGCGATCGATAGAGATAGCACAGTTCTAATCTCGCCGTCTCATTAGCCGCGTTTGTTATTCACGGCGGTCTGACGTTGGCCGAAAATTATTAAGGCTGCGCGTACAGTGTACAGTGTCGCCGGATAGAAAATTTGTTTGCACAAGTTGCGATTCGCGTCGAAAACTCACGATCCAGCTCGAAATGCGCGACGCGTTTGTTACAGAGACAAAAATCTCGGAGAAAATTAATAAACAAAAGAAACAAAGGAAAAGAAGACATAACTGTAATGTTACGCGAGTGACTAACGATCCAGCCTGATTTTCTCGCGGAGGTGTTAATAATCGATTACATCTGTCGGGCACCGCAAGAACCGGCGCGGGGAAAAGCCCGAAGAATTTTTAGCGACGCGTAATTAATTCCGCCCGCGTAGCTCGCAGACTTGTAATTAATTTTGTATATTAACTGCAAGAGAGACAAAGTTTAAAATAACTCGTCCGATATTGTCAATAGCAAGCAACAGCCTGTCGGCGACAACTTCTCCTCGTCGCTTCTCCGTAGCCAAAGGGCACTCGACCCGAACAAAGGGTGGCTGTTACCCGCTGTTTGCAACTTAAGGCTTCATGAAATGTCCCGTCCAGAAAAGTGCATCTTCACCGTTCTTTTTTTTCGCTCTCTTCTTGCCCGTCGCGCGCCCGCCCGAGAAGCGTATCAACGCCGCGTACAAAGACCTACCTATTATTGTTTGGCTAACTCTATCAACTCCGGGCGGACGGGAAGGACCCCATTCAATTCCGAGTTAATTAGGACGGTGCCAATTTTCCTGTTTATCTCGACTCACCGAGTTCTTATCTCGGGCCGTTTGCATAATACGGCCGCGCGCGGTTTAACGCCGGCCGCTCCGGAGCCGGATTTTATTAGAATCGATGGGAGCGCGAATTCCCCCCCCCCCCGCACATTTTCATCCCCCGAGTCTCCGCGCGTCGCGGCCGCGGCTACCTCGCGCATACGATTTTCAATCAGCAACTTCCACCTAGCTGTAGCGCGACGTACA